GCACTGTGCAAGCCAGAATTTATTGAGTTCTCATATTGAGCAATGCTATAAAAATAATGAAGCCAAGTCCGGGAAAGAAAGGTGGGTGGCCAGGATCCCGAGGTTGCGCTACACTCAGCTGGGTGGGATTTGCAAAGGACCCAGCTTGATATAGCTTCATCTAAGAGAACTGACCTGGGACTCAATGACTTCAGGAGTACCACTTCACTGATGTAACAAAAGTACTGCTAAGAAGAAATAACATATAGATATTTAGTAGATTAGTTAATTAGAAAATAAAACTAATCAAAATTAAATTTAAGAATATCACCAAGTGTGCAAGATTACTGGTAATATATAGTGGCAACCTTGAAAATCTACTGTGATAGTCTGATGAGAATATATATTATATTATTATATCTAATAGTTTAAAAACTAATAATGAACAATAATATTTGAATTTATGGCTATAGTAATTTGTTCCCCACACTTTCCGCATTCAAAAATTGTATTATAAATATTGTAATTCAAATTCCATTAAAGTTATTAAGTTTTTATATTTATTTTAAAACCAAAACTCCCGACTTCCAGCTGTAGGGAATACGCTTTGTCGTCGACAGTTGGCTTAGCCGAAAGCCAAAAGCCCACGCAGCTTAGTATGTCCTGCAAAGGACACCCACCCAGGGGGGAGGGGGGTGGTAGGTGTGGTAGGGGACTGCCATTGCTGCGAATACTTGGGCAAAAGTGGCAGGAGCAGCGGCAAAAAGTGAAATGAAGCCGAAAGGCAAATAGAGCATAAATTACGCAAATCCAACACGACACTTTACAGCGTCGACTGCGGCAGAGGCATCCTCATGCGTGTGTGTTGTGTGTGTGTGTGTGTGTGTGTGTGTTGCTGGCGACAACTGCAACAACTACGCAAGGCAACAATAATAACAGTAACAGCAACAGGAAGAGCAACAAATAAGTTAAGTCAAAGTCAAAAAAGCAAACAAACATTGCACACGACGGAGATGGCAACACTTACACACACACACACACACACACATACTCAGCCATTGCAGCATTCTCACTTCCGCACACAGAAAAGTACACTGAAAGAAATTTGAGTATTAAATTAAGTAAACGCTGTCTATTTGTTGTGGGTTCGAAAGAGTAAAAAAGTTTTTTATATTATTCAACGATCCTTTTTTAATAAACTACCAAGTTAAGCCTGTTTTGCCACAAAAGTCATTTCTTGTTATTCAAATGCATAGTATGTCCTTAACAAATGTTAAAGATTACAACAATCCATTTGGATTTAATAAACGGTTCAGGTTTTCCCTAAAATCGTTTATTATTTGCCAACTTGGGTAACTTAAAGCGAATTAAGCTTAGGAACTTAGCTAAGAAGTAAGAATCGTTACCTATTTGCCATTGAGAACACATTTCAATTAATTTAAATACAAGTCAAAGTCTAATGTGCTGTCGTTTCTCGCAGTGCAGACTGCAACTCGCACTGGGCAAGTGTGGCATGCAATCAGGCGCCAAATGCTCAAGTGTCTCATTGTCAGCGTGTTGCATGTGCAGTGCGGTGGAGGGGCAGGGGGAGGGGTTGGGGACGGGGGAAAATAAAGTAAAATGAACAGCAGCAGCAAAAATGTTAAAGCAAGTAAATAAACATTGTGCGCCATTATCAGGCACTGTCAGCAGCAACAGCAGCAACAGTAGCAACAATCAACAGCACCAGGCAACATAATTTGCAGTTGCAACTGAGAACTTTTCAATGGTTTGAAGCTGAAAAAGCTGACAGGACCTCCTGCCCCCGGAAAAGAGGGGGGAAAGGGGCACGAGGGCAGCAGTGCATGGCAGGCACAGTGGGCAAAAATAGAGCCTGGAATAGGCACTTAACACATCGTCTAATATCATTGTCAGTTCACAAAATATATATCTACATATATGTACAAAGAGGTGCATAAAAGTGTGCTGTTAAGGTCTGTTAAGGTATTTAATTTATTTAATATTGAATAATATAATAAATCCATTATTAAAGACTGACCTTTATGTTTTTGGAATCTTGAATTTTCCACTGTTCGTGGGGCGTGTAGCTGCCGGGAAAGTCCATTGCCTGGCATAAAGCCCGGATATGCCTGATACTGTACTGCCTGTGTATGTGTGTGATTGTGTGTGTGCATGGTCACTAAGGTGGTCCAAAGAAACCCTACTTTTACCGTTTATAACGGTATATTTTGGTGTGCTCATTCGAACTCATTCAAAAACCAAAAACGATTTGTTTTTTGTTGATGGTTTTAATGCTTGCATAAAAATGACTTATACGACATGTATGCCAATTAACATTTTAAGCCTTGTCAACTCATTGATCTTGGTTAAATAAAAGTCAAATTGTGAAGTACTTTTTTTTTTTTTTTTAATTATACAAAGTCTGGGGCAATTCGACACAAATAAATTACTTAATCAAAGGCAACAGTACGTATGAGGAATATGTGTTTGTTTCTGGTATGCCTTCAATGTCTAAACGTGAGTACTATAAGCGGGTAAAAGTAGGATCTTAAAATCTTCATACAAATATGGGCCACCTTAATGCTCACACGTATCGGAGTGTGTTCGTGTGTGTGTGGGTGTGCCTGTGTGCTTGTATGCAGCTGCATGGTTGAACAGTCAATGGCGGTGGAGCCCAAAAGGCCGGAAGTGCAGTCGAGCAACAACGATTGTATGTGTGTCGTGTCCCGTGTGTAATTGTGTGAGTGGATCCATAGGTGAGTGTGAGTGTGTGTGTGTGTGTGAGTTTGAGTGCGAGTGTGTGTTTTGGCCGGCTAAACAAAAGTGGCACAACGAGCTGAACTTGTGGGCGGTGGGCGGTGGGCAGTGGAAGTGGGAGTGGGAGTGGCGAAAAAGGAAAAGAAAGGCCAACACAAGTTGACATAGAAATTGTACAAACTGAAAATGATTTGTGTGCCCCCTCGCTCGCATACACAAAAGCAGGCATATATTTGAACAACGGTGGGTCGATTTATTTGGAAAACCCAAAATAGTAAAAGACATAATAAAGAAAACCAAGAAACAAAATCTCTTCAATAATTATGTCCTTTAAACTTGATGCATTTAATCAATCCATTCCAATAGTAAAATGTCATAAATTGGATTAGCTTTACAATTTAGAATATATAACCTAATTGAAAAATAATTTAAACTTAAAACAATCAATTGATGTCATTAACACTAGGTTGGTATTGTGGATTAAACACATCTATGAATTTTTAACATTCGCAATCCATTTTCTTCGTTCATATGATAAAAAAGTATTTATTTCTATCCATTTATTTTAAACAATTAAGTCATTTATTAAAGAGCTATTTATAAGTACATATTTTATTTATTTTAACAAATTTATTCATTAATAATAGGTGCATTGGCATTGTAATTGAAATACATATGTTTTATATTTCTTCTATATTATCTAAACATTTGAAAATTCGACATTTAACTCAGTCTTTTAATTATTATAGCAAAGTCTAGCTTATATTATCTATTATGAATTATTATGAAAATAATTCATTTATCATATTCGGTTTGTGGCTCACTAATTTTCCCTGGAAGTTAAGTGCGTCCGATTTTAAAGGTAAACCGCCACTCCCTTAACCCCAGTCACTGTGGATGTGGATGTGGATGTGGCTGTGGATGTCCCAGGTCCATTTTCAGAGAGGTCCTGGACCTGATCCTGCCAACCAATGAGCCACAAGCGAGACAGACAGCCTGCCGCAGGGGGCGTGGCAGGAGGGCGGCGGCGGAGGTGGAGGTCCTGGCAGACAGTTGAAATTGCAAATTATGCTTTCGAGAGTGGGACGAAACGGCGGCGATGGGGAGTCTACTGTCTGCGCTCTAATTATGCAAACTACCTGCTGTTACTCAATTAATCTTGATTACGTTTGTGTTATCCAAATACAATTATTTTGGTATTAATTACAGTGGCCAGGAGGCGAAATGGGCTGGCCAGACGGAGGACCACTTTTACGAGCGGAAATTGTCTGGGTCGCCGAGTGAAACAATGCGGACCCAGCACCACCCACCGAAGTCCACCCACTGAAATCCACCCACCACCCGACAGATTGGCTTGGTCAAGGCACAGAACGCATTAGAGGCAAGTGTTTTTCCCATTTTGATTTTTTTTTTTTTGCCAGCCTTCCCATTCGTATGCCACTCGCATTTGGCGCGACTTTTCCCAGCAGCGTATGTAGGTGAGTGGGTGGTGGCCGATTTCCTAATTAGCCTAGGAAACAAAGTATCGAAATGCGTGTGTTCGAGTGGCCACGCAGAAAATTGGGAGTGAGTCGATTGGTAGAGCGTTGACCTTAATTGGCATCCTGCGAAAATGAGAGTTAAGTGCCTTGAATTGGACTTGGGGGATAAGCCAATGCATAATCCTAATGGTGACCCACTGAATATAAGGACCACGAGTAGCTGCCTAAATACCAGTCTTAAGTTAATAAATAAGCAAAACCAAATTCAAGGGTTAAATGAGTTTAGGCTACATTACAGTTTTATCCAAAACATCAATACAGTATTTAAGAAAATACTTGGGCATTTGACGGCAATTATCAGAGCACTGATTTTGTAAGAGATCAAATTGTATTTAGCTAAATTATTCTGTGCTGAGCTCATAATTAAAACTATTAGCTAGAGATTTTGTACAGTGTGGCAGTGCGATTAGATGTTTTGGTAAGGAAGGTCACATTGGGTCATTGACACTTGGCAAAAAAATAATATTATGAAAGCCGTAGTAAGATGTAAAAATTAATTTCTTATATATCTTTTACAAGAGTTCTGAATGCAATACCGCATATTAACTAGAATTTAATTCAAAATTAGTATTTATTCAAAGATTCCACAAGGAAAACTTGATTTTAATGGTTAATTTGCTCTTGTTTTCTGTGCCAGAAAAGAAAGCATTATATCAATATGTCTGAAATTCCTCATGCTCCCCATGATTCCCTTACCTGAAAGCAAAGTACCCACTACATAGATTCAAGTTAAAGCTCGAAATTTGATTTTATTCGATCGGTCCTCAGTCCTCGAAAACGACGGCCACATAGTCCAGGTACTTGCGATGGGAGACGCGTCCCTTGGTCACCTTGCGCACATCCTTCAAGGACAAATTGGGGGTCTGCCTGGAGGCGATCAGGGTGGAGACGACACTGGGTGGACGGCACTTCAGATGGGGTGGCATCACGGACATCGGCGGCATGGTGGCCCTCTTCTCCAGCTCCGCGTACTTCATCACCTTGAGGGACAGGCTGTTGATCTGCTTGTTGATCTCGGCCAGGATGAATGGGGCCACGAACAGCCGCTTCTCCGGGGGAATCAGATCCGAGTTGGTGTTGATGAAGTCCATGACCTCTTTGTTCGACATCTTATCGACCTCGAAAGGAGGCATCTCCCTTTCGGGAGGGTCCTTCCTCACTTCATCCTCCTTCGGGACCTCGGCAGTCGGCTCTGCAGGTTGCTTTGGCGACCGCTCGAAAATCTTCCAAATCTTGGAGATTATCGACATTATCTTCCTCTCCGGCTTCTTTGCAGACTTCTCCTCCGACTTCTCGGCTGGTTTTGAATCCTTCATCATTGCGCACTGCATCGGATCAGTGCTGTTTGTGGTTTTCTTGGAACTCATAATGGCAAATTAAAATAAATTTCGTTTATAAAATTCCGTAAGAAAATTGTAGAAAATGTTCAGTTGTTGTTAGGTCAAGACTCGAAGAGAAAATCAGATTTGGCCTGCGATGAACAAACTGACATTAGCTTGACAAATGAACTGTAAAGTCAGGGCCTACTGCGTTATAAAAAATATAGTTCATCAAAGGGTGGCAATAATATGTTATTAACCGAATGCCTCTAAAAAGGTTAAATTTCAATCATTTGCTTAACAAAATTATAAGAAATGCTGCTGTCTTACAAAACTTTAAATAATTTATAATTTATTTTTTTCCTTAAAGTCTTCTTAAGTGTATGCCTTGGCTTAAGTTGCATTCCTTAAATATCTTATCAACTTGACAAACGAATGCAAATAACTTGGTAACCTCTATAAGCTGCAGTTGAATCAGGGCGCATTGGCTTACACTCTGCTGTCGGGTTCGATTTTCCCTTTCCGCATTCCAGGATAACTGTCTGCTCGAGTCCTGCAAAAGTCCTCCAGGGTGGACCTTTGTTCTGCCCGAAAGCGCAACTAATAATGGTTTTTATTTGAATAAATACATATGTGAAACAACAACAACAAAAAGAGTGGCCACCCTAATTTCTTCTACTGAAATGTTAACTTTTCGGCAGGGTCGTTTTTCAATGAAATACCGAATCTGTCAATAATAAAATATCTAAAAATTAAATAATCAATGGGTGTCTGATATTCATAAACCAAACAAAAACACCTTTAAAATGTCTAATATAAAATCTTGTTAACAAAAATTATTATATTTTTGTATAAGCCAATTCAATATTTTGTTCAATTTAAAAGAACTAATACTTCATAACGACACCACTTAAATCATAATTGTTTAGTGGGTTCAAACTCACAGATCTCCCAACACTAAAAAGACTTTTAAATAGCAAAAAAAGTTTAAACAGCAAGTTATTAAAATCTAAAACAAAATTCATTGTAATAACTATAAAATCGCCAGAATTTTGTTAAAGCATTTTAAAGAATATAGCTAAAATAAGGACTTGTAAGTATTTGTTGGGAATTACGATTTAAGGTCCACCCTGCGGTCCACCATTGTCCTTTTGGCCGCTTTTGTGTGGCCCGTCTGCCACGAGCTGCTCAATAATAAATACATGAATAGATAAACTAGGACGTGGATCGGGCAAGGACGAGGAGTCGCAAAAGGACAGCATCTGGCAGCCTTGGCACGTCCGCCTTATACCCATAATATATTAAATATACGATAAGCATGATACAAAAAAAAAAACATTAAGGCAGAGATGAAAAAAAACGTAGAGATTGTTTTGTTGGCCGAGCGGACAGGGCCTGGGCATCAGCCTAGGTCACCGTATTGTCGCTCTCGGGGATGACCAGGTCCTCCTCCCTGATCCTCTCCGGCAGTCGCTCCACCATTGGCCGTTGTCCGGAGAGCTGGAACTGGTAGTTGAAGTACTCGAACACGTACAGCTCCTCGTTGCTCACATAGTGGAAGGACACCGGGTACTCCGACAGGCAGTCCATGCACTGCAAAACATTAAAGAAAAGAGTTCGATAGAAAAAGCAATGGAAAATGAGCCAAATAAAACAACATAAGCCTGGAATTAATAATGTTAATGTTCTCTATTCGTGATACATAAGTACATGTTGTAGAAAAAGAACATTCTGCATTTGATGCCTCTAAAAACATTATCTACGAATAATATCACATAATGATAACAATACCTAAAAAACACATTTGGTGTTACATGGGTCCAAAACATGCACTTTTTCAACATTTTTGTCGTTTTTCAATATTTAAAACGTTGTGTTGAGACGAGACAAATTTCAAGAGTATATTTCAAACATGAAAAAAGAACAATTTTTAATTAATGGGAAACGTTTGAAAAAAATGTTAAAAAAATATATTTATTTGAGAAGTAAAAATGCAAATTTTTTGTGAGAGTATTTCTAACTCAGTCATGTTTACAAAAAATAAAAAAACCGAAAACTAACCGGAAAGCAATTAATGTGTTGTTATCTGCAACACTTATATTATTAATTGATTAAGACTCACCGATCGCGGCTGGTAGAAGGCGTATTTGTACAGCCAGAAGTCCATGCCGGTGTAGCCGGAGAGCAGGGATTCGAAGGGACCCACCGGGTAGAAGCGATTGCGGAACTGCCCGTCCCGGGAATCCCCTGCCTTCACGCCGAGATTGAACAGGCACTTGCCCATCTCCAAGTCCTCGGCGCTGTTGTCCTCCTGGCGGCATTTGGTGGAGTCGTTGTGGCCCTCGGCGAAGATCCTTAAGGCTTCGCGGCTGAGCACGTAGCCACTGCCTCCGGACATGTACGACTGGCAAGTGTTATGTTTAGATTATATTTATATTTAAAATCAACAAGGAGAAAGATTTATTTAAAGTCTAAAGCTTATTTAAATCGTATTCGAACAGTAGAAGTATGAGTGCAAAGTATATTTAAAAAGCAATATGCAACAAAATATCGCTACTTTTGTTTCTGCATGCCATCTTTGGGAGATCGATCTTTCGCCGTTAGAGAAAAATGCAATGATTTTAAATAATAACTTTGAGACATATTGTCATATTTGTTATGAATATAATTAACCCCTCCGATTCGAGCACAAATTATTTTTTTTAATATCAGTTAAGCCTTGCCTACTTTAATTTTAAACAAGAAAGGAAAGCTAACTTCGGGCGGAGCCGAAGTTGATATACCCTTGCAGAATACTCTGTAAATTATATTCTCCAAAATTATTCATATGATGCATTCTTAATACTCATAAAAAATCCGAACTTCCTAACTTTAACAACAACAAAGTTATGGCATTTCCAATCGTTCAGTTATATGGCAGCTATAGGATATAGTCGGCCGATCCTTATGAAATTTGGTAGGTCGGATTGATTGGCCAAAAATAAAATCCATAGAAAATCCCAACTTCCTAACTTTACAAACACCAAAGTTATGGCATTTCCGATCAATCAGTTATATGGCAGCTATAGGATATAGTCGGCCGATCCTTATGAAATTTGGTAGGTCGGATTGATTGGCCAAAAATAAAATCCATAGAAAATCCCAACTTTCTAACTTTACAAACACCAAAGTTATGGCATTTCCGATCAATCAGTTATATGGCAGCTATAGGATAAAGTCGGCCGATCCTTATGAAATTTGGTAGGTCGGATTGATTGGCCAAATATAAAACCCATAGAAAATCCCAACTTCCTAACTTTACAAACACGAAAGTTATGGCATTTCCGATCAATCAGTTATATGGCAGCTATAGGATATAGTCGGCCGATCCCGGCCGTTCCGACTTATATACTGCGTGCAAAGGAAAGAAGGGTGTGTGCAAAGTTTCAATCCGATAGCTTTAAAACTGAGAGACTAGTTCGCGTAGAAACAGACAGACGGACAGACAGACGGACAGACGGACAGACGGACAGACGGACAGACGGACAGACGGACAGACGGACATGGCTATATCGACTCAGGAGGTGATCCTGATCAAGAATATATATACTTTATAGGGTCGGAGATGTCTCCTTCACTGCGTTGCACACTTTTGACCAAAATTATAATACCCTCTGCAAGGGTATAAAAATAAGCTTACAAAAATACCAATGAATTCGTTACACGCTACAGATCCTTATCAAAAATAAATATACTGTTTACTTTTCAACGAACACAATACTCTACGAGTAAGGGTTATTATGAAAATTAATATACAAAGTAGCTCACCGCATTCTTCAGTTGCGAGCCAATCAGCTTGTAATTGAATCCAAAGTAAATTGGGGTGCTCGGTGAGTAGGGGTAGAGCATGTAGCGCAGGTTTTCCAGGAAGACATATCTATTGATGTGACAACGTGGTAAGGACTGATTAAAAATCTATCTTTTATAACATCAATTTAAACATATTTTTGAATCACTGTTAAACAATTGATTTGCTGGAAATGGAAGGGGGCCCATCATTTTTGATTGTTTTTTAATTAATTACAATTGGTGGAGCTATGATGACTTATTATTCGTGATCACCAAACAGTTCACTTACGTGTCGTCGTCCGCCTTTATGAACCAGTCGGCCTCGTCGGCGAAATGCTCGTGGATGTAGGTGAAGGCCTCCTTGGTCTTGCCCCAGAGCACCTCGTACTCGTCCGGCTTGGTCAGCACCACGGTGGGCAGCTCGTCGTCCGGCTCGGAGGTCATGAAGTAGATCTTGTTGCAGCGCCTTCCCCAGGTGCGCAGAACGTGGACGGCTCGGGCTTTGTGGTACTTCGGGGTGGTGAGGACCCAGCACAGGATCCTCACCTCCCGATGGAGCTTCTCGGCGAGGGTCTCATTGCCCAGCGCCGTCTGATCAATGGAATCGATGCCCCTGGCCAATGGCACAGCACTGGCGGTGATCATCAGCACATCCCAGTAGGCGAAGAGGGTGATCAGCAGGCTGCCCACCAGGAGGAACAGCAGGACCGCGCGCTTGGTGGACGATCGGCGGGCGGAGGGACGCTCCCTTTCGAAGCCCAGTGTGATATATTGCCCGTCCATTTCATCACTGACTCACGGAGCCGGAGGCACTGACAACCAACAGAAGCCTTATCGCGGGGGAGCTACGCCCAAGATAAGGCCAAGAACTGATACTCGGGAACATCGCCGCACCAGTTTACTCCATTAGACTAATGGCAGAAAGAGCGATCAGATGCCCCCGAAAATGAGCCCGAACACCAGACTTATCAATTGGATTTCTCTTCCCTCTCAATACATTAAATAAATTAGTTTTAACTTGATCGAAACTCAAATGGTGACGATCATTTCTTATTAACTCTCTTTTTCCGCATCACTGTGCAGGGCAATCCACGTAGTGACGAATCACGCCGCGAGTGTGGGGGACAAGACTACAGAGAATTAAATACCTACTATTACTCTTCAACCAAATTCGAAAGATACAGCTGTGATTTTTATACCCCTTTATGTCTGTGCACACAACTTTTCTTGCAGACATCCGATTTCAATGTGGCATACTTTTAAATAATCATCGTTCAATTCTCTAAAAAACTGTGTTTTCAGTTTAGTTTTTATTTTTGGGTCGATTTTTCATCATTTTCAATGATTCCAAATTTGCGAAAAATGGCTTTGCAGAAAAGTGCACAAAAAAACTGGACTTCTAAGCTCATAACTTTTCGTACAGACATCCGATTTCAAAGTGGCATACTTCCAAATAATCGTGGTTTAATTCTCTAAAAAACTGTGTTTTCAGTTCAGTTTTTATTTTTGGGTCGATTTTTCGTCATTTTTAATGAAAAATGGCTTTGCAGAAAAGTACCCTAATCTAAGCCCATAACTTTTCTCAAAAAAATCGTGTTTTATTCAAATTAAAAAAAAAATTTCCTTAATATAACTTAAATTGAGCTGTTCAACTTATGTATGTATATTAACCGAATAAAAAAACATATTTATAGGGACGGGAACACAGTCTTAAATATAGGATTTCTCAACTCCTCATTAACAAAGACAAAACCCAAATATCATTAGACCTTCTTTAATTCAACGATAATTTTTGGAGGTTTTTCTAATAAGATAAAAAATTAACTTTAAAATACTTACGCTTATGATATTTTACGTTGTTTTTATGAGTTATAAAATTACCTGACAATACTAAGACTTGAAAATCTTTAAAGAAAGAAAGTAGTAAGTCCCTGGAACTAATTGTTTACCACGCCAGCATTGAAAGTGCCAGGAAATTTATTTAAATTTTGCTCAGCATAGTTCATTAATCAAAACACTTTGGACAAACACACAGAGCAACAAGCTCCTTGAAAACGAGTAGGGAAAAATAAATAGAAAAAGGGTATATATATATAGAAATAATAAAAGGGAGGGAAGGCAAACGTAAAACCCGAAAACAGTTGAAGTTGAGAGAATCTTTCAATTAATCATGAGCGACATGTGGTCGTTGCTGGACGCTTTAGGAGGCGGGGGCGTTTGAACTGGGGGCGTTTGAACTGGGGGCGTGGCGCGGTACTGAAGACCGCCAACAGCGCGAGAAATATTATATAGCGCATACGCCCCGTGGGAGCCCGATTCCGATCCCGATCCCGGCACTCGGATGCTCGCGTGCAAACAAATGGCTGCCATAATAGCGTCGAGGCGGCATCCTGGTCGCATCCTGGACGCATCCCCCTCCGCCAATTCCCCCGCTGGCAAACAAATCCCCATTAATAAAATAAAATGCAGCCAGAGGTGGAGAAGCGGCTAAGAATGAAAACTATTTGGCATTGTGGGCGTGACCCGCTGCGATTTCCCAGTGCCCAAACAAATACAAATTTTTCCAATAAAAACGGTGGCGGCTCGCGATTTTTTGTATGCTTTTTGTTATATTTTTTTTTATTTAGCTTTTCGCCTGTCAAAATTAGTTTTGGCCAGGGCAAACAGTTCAACGAAATGCAAATAGGAGTGGGGGTGGCAGACCTCACAGGCTGATAAATGCCTTTGACCTTTCGATGACGTGACCCACATGGGGCCACTGACCATGGGCGGCGGTCAAGTGGGCACTTCAGTTTCCTTAAGGGGCATGTGTTTCTTAGTGTTAGTTTCAAAATATTAAAGCCACTCAAGATTTTAGTTATTAAAAGCAGTTACTCAACGAAATGTAAAACGACAAAAATTAAGGCAGGAACACAAAGGCACAAAGTTATTCTAAATATTATATTATTGTTATTTCAGAAACAGAAACATACATTTTAAGCTATAGCATTTTTTAATGTTTTTTTTTAATTTTTTAACAAAAACTTACAAATAAGTCTTGCTTTCTAGTTTTGAATAAAAATTGAACATTAACAATTTGAAAACTAGAAATAGGTCTTATCCAGTATATAGGTATGTTTATTTTTTATATCCATAAACTTGTTTTATGCTGACATTTTGGTATACGTTTAAGCATAGTTAAAATTTTACCTTTTTGGCAAAATGAAGAAGAAGTTTATTTTCTTAAATAATAGATCAAGAGAACGGTATTGAAGCGTAGATTAGCTACATACGTTCTTAAAAAAATACACAAAACCTTTCAAAATCAGAATGAGTCCATTTTTATAGATTTTCATATATAAATATTTAATAAATATTTCTGACTTTGATATACAGTTATTATTATTATTCTTACATACAATTTAAATGGTAAAAATAATCCTTTTTACGGTTACCGATTTAAAGAGAGCCAGATTTTATAATTTAACACTAACCTGCTTGCTAGCTTTTCTAAGCTGCTCTTCAATTAGTGAAACAATGGACCCTCGATCCCATCGCCCCGATCTATCTCTTCCATTTCCATTCCCCTCCTTTCAATTTTCCATATAGCCGGCACTGGCTGACAATCAACAGTTCCTTTCCATCTGGTTTTCGCTGCCCCAATACAATGAAAATTCAGCGAACCAGCAACGGGAGCCGCGATGGTCGGTCGGTCAACTGCAAACTGTGGAAATCATAAAAATAAACCAAAGTCAAATGTATAACAGCAGATTTTTTGTAATAATGTTAGCTTTTGGACTTTACAAGCGCGCCAAGGCAAACGCCATTTGTCTCGCAGTCCGACTCCCCCGTCCCCCTCCTCCTCACCATCACCCCTCTCACTCCATCGCCCTCTGCCGTCTCTTTCTCTTTTTGTTGGCCCACTGTGTATGTAAATATGAGTGTGTGCCGGAGTTGCATTGTTTGCACTAGAGGTGGCCGCGTGAGGAAACCTATCTTAAAAAGAAAACAAATAAATTTATTGCAGTCGATGGGGGGCACTAACAATAAAACAACTATTAAAAAATAAATTTACTACAAAAGAAATGTATAAGACAATAATTTTTAATGCTGTAGCTGTACTGGTTTAGAAGTTTACAAAGAAAATATTTACCTTTAATTTGGAGTGGTTTTAGAGCGATTGTAATAAAGAATTATTCCCAAGGGTTATTCCTAGCCCTATATAAATGAATAGATCCAAAAATTGATAGAACATTTATCGACAAAATCCGAAACCTGATCATAACCTTACTTGCTCACCATTTCCTATCTCCCTCTCTGTCTCACCGCACCATCTCCATCGCACACACACACACACACATAGTGAGACATCAAACGTGCAAACATTTGCCATATTTTTGTAATCAAAGTAAACAATCCACTTAACCCAACACGGACATGCAAAGCGACTGCCAGCTGGCTATCTTCTTGTCCCTCTCTGACCCTCTACCCATCTCGCTCCCGCCAAACGAAACGTCTTTCGCAATTTCGCTTCGATTTTTTTGGGTGGGAATGGAGGCCAACGACACTACTGCTGCAATCCACACCCACATCCACCCACTTAACCCACTCAACCCATAAACGAACGACACTAAAATTATTTTCTTATTTAAAAAAACATTGTATGTATAACAAATAAAAAGAAGGATTATTACTGATTGCTAAATTGTATTATGTTTTTATTATTTTGTTTTACGTGTTTTTTTTTATTTAGAATAAAGCACAAAATTGAAATATCCTTGACCTACTAATTCTTGTAGTTTATTTTCTGGCACTTTCTAAGCACATTAACAAGAATGACAGATTAATATTATCAATATTTGAATACTACAGAAGTCAGCTATATTATCTTTTATATACATTGGTTGATACATTTAATTTTCCTTTATTTTTTATGTACTTTCTGTATTATAATTTCCTTTAATTTTACATTTATCAGCTTTGTGGTTTTCCCTTTCATATGAATGCATGATGTTTGCAATAATCAAATTTAAATTTGAAACGTATACTTAATGTTTATATTTGAAACGTATACTTAATATCGCTTTGATTCAAACGTATACTTAATGCCTACTTAATTAAATAAGTATACGTTTCAATTAAATCGACATTAAGTATACGTTGTCAAGTACACGTTTCAAATAAAAATTTGGATGAGTAAATGTTGGTTTTATAGTTCTCTTCTGGATATTAAAGTATTAATCTTTCTGAAATTATATAACGTGTTTTAGAAAATAGTAAGTTACCAATATAGATTTAATTGTAAGTAATAAGCCTTGCAAAAATATTTAATATAATAGTTTGATTTTCTAATCAATTCGAAATAACTAGGATTATTATACAAATTTGTATTCGAAACTTATACTATAATTCGTTTTAATTCAAACGTATACCTAATGTCGATTTAATTGAAACGTATACTTAATATGAATTTAATTGTAATTATTAAGCCTTGGTAAAATATTTAATATTAAAATTTGATTTGCTTACCAATTATTATTTTACTCACATCTTCGAATTATGATAGTTTTTCTGTGTGCACCTACTGTTCGCCGTTCATACATCTCTGCAGCCATCCGTTTGTTGCCATTGTCACTACTACGCTGGGTTGGTGGGTGTCCTGCACTTTTTTGGCCACACCATCCACGGGAATGGACAAGGAGGAGCCAGGAGGCGAGTCCTGGGCACGTGATGCCTTTCGATGTCTTGGCTCGTTTTTTATGCAAACAGCATTTGAATTTGAAATGAAAACGCTGACGGGCGCCGCCA